GAGAGGGCAGATAATGAAATGCTGAAATTGCAAAAAGGCGAGACACAAGTGTTGCTGTGTACGAACCTTATAAAACACGTGACACTACAAGCATATTAGGTAGGTCTTAATATTCTAATCCTGCCTTAATCCTATAAGTGACTTTACTTTAGAAAACAAAACCTGCATAAAATAGAATTAATAATTTGTAACAAAAAAAAACACTTCTATTAAAGATATCATGGTTTCATTCGACAAAGAGATCAGCAAAAAAATATATAAAAGGATCTTATTGATTAAAACAAATCTGCCGTTTATGGTTTTTTTTTATCTGAATTTTCTTTCCCCACCTATGCACTCCTTTGTAACATTAACCTATCACTTTTTGATCTTAGATGTTATGCCATAAACTGGCTCATTGTGTAACACCACTACCTGCAAACGTTTTGGGTGTTAAACAAACCTGCCACCTTGTTTTACAAGCATGTTACACAGCTTGGGTTTACTTGCACTTTGAATTCAGGTTAACTCCCAGTCCTGTTGACTGAAATAAAAGCAAGTCTTTAAAAGTTATTTCTATCATTTTAAATATCTTTTCATGAGACTAAATCAAAGGAAAACAATCTAGTAACCAGAATTGGTATTTAAAAAATTCAAAGAAATTTCATTTTTAAGCCAGATCACTCAGACCTAATCCAATAAAAGGATAAATTCTTTAAAAAAAGGTCACATGTTTAAAGGGAATTGTTTTCAGAAAAAATACCTCAAGTACTTCAAGTAATAAATTAAAAATCCTATAAATAACCATTCAGATCACCCAAGCTTTTAAACCCCAAGGAGCCTAACATATGTCTACTTACTGAATGGATAAAAAATAAAATAAAAAATTAGAAGAATGCTCATAATACTTTTTTAATTCAGTATCTGTTTAGCTTTTACATGACACATTTTCATGGTAAACACAAATATATATATATATATATATATATATATATATATATATATATATATATATATGTGTGTAATATATGTATTACAATGTTGAAATTTTCCAAATTGTTCTGAATATTTTATATGTAGGGACACGTGCGGCTGGTTAAAGGCCAACTTGTACGGTGGCTTAGGGGTCAAAACGGCGTGCAAATACGTTATTTAAACAGGAAACTCAAAAGTTAGACCAGCAAACACACAACAATAATAGCAACACATCCACACTAAATGCATGTTGAGAAAAAATGCTGCAAACAGGTAAACCAACAGCAAGTTTAGAAAACCTGCAAATTATCGCAGCATAACTAAAGTGCTCCAGACCACTAGGGGGAGACGATTATGAACTTATATGGGATCAAAACATAAACATTACTAGATTAGATAAATCTGAAGAGAAAATGAAGCAAGGATAGGTTTTTATTTTATTTTATTCATTTGAAATAATTAATCTCTCTTTGCATCTTTTTATGCCTTTACTAAGGAAGCTTTTCTCAATGTGATTTCATAATTGTCTTCCCTTGGTGGTCTGGAGAACTCCCATTATACGACACTAGTTAGCAGCTTTATCTTTACTGGCAGTGGGTTTTCTTCTACCTGCAGCAGTTTTTTCTTTTGCATGTTTTTTTTTTTTTAGCATCGTTTCGCAGCAGCTTTATTTGTTGCTGTGCTCCATTTTCTGTGATCTCAGCTTCTCCTAATTTGCAACCGTTGTTTTTTTTTTTCAAACTAGAAGCATTTTTTCATTGCTTGCATTATGGGGTTTGTGTGTTGATCTCATTTTTGTGTTTGCTAATCTGTTTTTTTTAGATTTTTGGAGCTTTTGAATTTGCTGTGAAATTAGCATAGCAGTATTGACAACATATCCGAATGCTGGTTTTTCTGTGGCATACTGATCATACCAATTGTGCATTCATTGCAAATATGCTTTCCATATTTTTTAAATGGAAAAGAAAACAGTTTATAATTGCATATTCCTTTCATATTTAGATACATATTTTAGAAGTATATTGCAGTTTAATTGTCTGTATGCAAATATAGTTTGTTTAATAATTGTGAAAAATGTGTTTCTTTTTTGTATCTCAACTCAGAAAATGGTTAGTTTAGATTCTTAACAAAGAGTGTAATATTCCAGCTTTCTTCCCCTTTAAGTTTTGATGAAAATGGCTTACCAACAATGGAACCTCAAATTGGCGGTTGCTTAAGAAAATTAGAATATCGTAGAAACGTTATAGCTATAGTTATAGAAGGTTGAGTGGAAGGACAAACTGTGGTAGGAGAAGCCGTGCCAGCAACAAAAACAACCACAACCGCAATTTGGACCGTCAAGCAAAGGCAGTGCAACAATTCAGGGGAGCTTCAAAGATACTAAATTAGAGCTGGAGTTAGTGCTTCTGGAGCCACTGTGCACAGACAAACTCTATCCTGAACCAGAAACCAAGCATAGATACACACATACAATGTATGTATGCAGGGGGGAAAAGATTTATTTTGCAATGATTATTTAATAAACAATGCTAAATAAACTAAAGAGACAATAGTTTATCTCTGACTCATTCTTTTTTTTTAGGTAACACATCCTTTCAAGGCAACATAACTGTTTCTGAAAGGTAAAGCCCTTGCAATGCGGCACCCAATGAAGCCCTGCACTGACAAGGTTGTGCATGTTTCTCCTCCAGCTGCTGCTGTGCACTGCTGGTCAGCTGGGTGAGAGAAAGCTACTACTCCATTTCCTTATAACAAACACCGAATAGAGTGTTTAGAAGAAAAAAACAAAACAAAAAAACATCAGTGAAAAATAGACTGTGATTTTATGGAAATCACACAATTGTTATTACATTGTAATTATAATGCTGTTTTATCATAATTTGGACTATTCTATACTGTATACTTTTTTTTTTAGGATTTGTGCAAATACTACAAAAAAGTGAAAGCACGCTGTATGCCATCGATGCTATACTGACAAAACTTGCACAAACTAATAAAACATCTGTTTAGCTACGAGTTTCCAGGAAACAGAACCATGTGATATGTAGTCCACCTCACTATGGAGCAAAAGCAATATTTCCATCTCAAAAAACTGATTTCATTGAATAAAATACTTCTGGCTAGCGTACGCTCTTTTTGCAATTCAAACAACAACAACAAAACATAGCAGTATTAATTTTCTATTTCATTACTTTCGAAAACTTTCCTCTTTCAACCAACATACTGAAGACACAGAGAGCCTGATCATGACACCAAAAAAACAACTATGATTTATTGCTTTTACTATTCTGATATCGCAGGTTCCACCAGCAATCACTAAAGCAGGTATCATAATAGTGTAAGAATCTCACTTAACTGTAATATGCAATTATCTTCCACTGCGCTATAATTTAGATAGCTTCTGTCCAAACTTTATTTATTCATTTTATAGTAAAATCCATCTGTATATATGCTATTGTACATAACTGTATGTAAATTTAGTTTATAACACTAGTTATCTATATATTATATTCATCTATTAGTAAGATCTGTTTATAATGGTATTCATCTCTATACTTATTCAGTAGAAACCCATTATTTATCCTGCACTTGCTGCTATTGCACTTCTGGTTAGACCTAAACTGTATTTCGTTGCCTTGTACTTGTACCTGTGTAATGACAATAAAGTTGAATCTAATCTAATCTCAGACCAACCTCCTTTTAGTTTAAAAACAGATGTGTTGTTATATTTTAACATGAAAAGGAAGCTATGAATATTTAATAATTCCATTCAAATGATTTAAGTTTGGTACACAAACTCATATTTTGATTAAAACACAGATTTATTTTATTGATCTATATTTTTAAGCTCCTAAAATCTATTTTTGTAGCGCAGGGCAGTGCCAGCTGACTGCCTCCTTCTCCTTGTGGGATCGGAGGACAGACGCTCAGAGAGCCAATGCTGACTACCACGCTGCCTGCCAGCAGGCATGAATGGGGACGCGTTTAAGGTTAGAGGGCTTTTATGAATGGGCCGGCCTCACGCCACCGCAGCGCAAACATCCCCCCCATCCGGTGCCCTTCGCCCTTCCAACCCCCCCACCACCACCACACCAACACAGGCGCGCAGGCATGTCCAGCGGCCAGCCTGGCGCGCACCACAGAAAGACTCTAATATAACCGTACCGCTTGGTTTTTAAACACCGACCCACTGGTGTCGTGTAAACAGGTCCGTGGGCCTACATTTTGCACACACACACACAAAAAATAAATAAATAAAACGATCCTGCGTGGCGCACATAAAAAAATCGAATCAGATCCAACATTTCTTCCCTGTGGAAATCAGCCGTCGTTTCCAATCCGTTTACCAACTATTCTTTTTTTTATGAATGGAGCGCGGCAGGCTATGCAAATGAGGTGCGATTGAGAAAGAGATGGCGGCAGAGGCATATCGGATATCTCATATCCTGTGAGACTTCCCCCCTTCGGTTGGAAGCAAACACACAGATGTGACCAAACACAAGAGGAGCGTAAAAATAAAACGCGCAGCCGCCGTTTTGGCGCAACTAACTGCGCCCCAAATCCCAGCAGTGGTTCCTCTATCTTTATTTTCTTTATTTAGTTTTTCTACTTATTTTTTTTGTAAGGGTGCAGCCTGCTCGGCGTGTTTGAGTTCCCAAGTTACGCTGCAACAGGGCCTCGCTGCTGCGCTCTCGCTTGAGATCCTTTCAGAAAATGTTTCCGATCCACCCACGCTTATTCCCCCCTTCCTCCCCCTCCTCTCCTTCTCCTTTCTCTCTCGCCTTCTTTAGACTGTAGTCTTCAACACAATATAGGGAGGAGGGGGGGGGGGGCATAAAAACAAATCAAACAAAAATAGTTAAAAAGCGCACACAGTTAAAGCATTAGATCAGCATAAATACAAGCAGATATGATAAGTAGAAGCAGTCTATAGATTCTAAGGGGAGTTTGCACATTGCTCCAAGCACCTCCAACTTAGAAGCACAGAGAAAAAAAAAAAAGAAAAAAAAAGGGGGGGGGGGGGGTCTTTAAGCAGTATTACTTACTCGTTTGGGTGTGTTTCCTCTATCATTTTTTCGTTTCACCTCAGGTAATGTACCACGGCGGTTGCATACTTTTCACTCGTCATTCTTCCACCTCCGATCCTGTGTCCGATTGCGCATAAATCCCCCCTGCGCCTTTGTGCGAGTGTCGGCTCTCAGGCTTTGCCCTCGACAGCCCTTTTTTTTTTTCCTCTCTCTCCCTGAAATTCTCCCTCTTCTTCTCCTTCTTTCCTCCCCTGGAGCCACGCTGTTTTTCTTTTGGAGGAAAAAAGAAATGAACCTCCTCTCCTCCGTGTGGAACTTTAATACCCAATCAGTGGAGAAACGCAGGCTGCACTGCTAAATGTTGGTTTCCGAATCCAGCTCTTGATTCTCTCTACCCCCCCACCACCAAACACACACAAGCACTCACACTCTCCCTCCCTCACACACGCTCCGGTTTTTTTGTTTTTTTTTTAAGTCCTAAGGCGCATGTTTTCACCGACGACCCCGCTTCCAGTTGTGCGTAAGAAAAAAGCGCGTCTTCGCCGCTGTTGCCGAGGGGTGGCCCCGCTAGAGCCCCATCTCTCTCACTACTCCATGTTGGATAGCAGGCGGCAGCGCTGTTCCTACGACACCGGGGGGAGGAGAGAGTGAGGGAGGGAGTGGAGGGGGAGGGAAGGAGGGAGTGGAGGGGGAGGGAGGGAGAGGGGAGCTGGGCGGAAACGATCACTTCATGCGTCCAAGACGCATGATGCATATAGTGCAAACCTAACCCCCCTAGCCATACATATTCCATTTCCCGGTGCGTGTCTGAAAACAAAACTACTTCAAAATACTAAAAAATGTAGCCTATATATATATATATATATATGTGTGTGTGTGTGTGTGTAGTTATAATAGACAAACACTATATATTTTCCGAAAATATAAATGTACAGCTGCACCATTAATCTAAATTGCAATAAAAAGGTTGCAATACAAGTTTTTTATCAATTAAGTTGTTTTTCTACATGGTATTGTTGGGAAAACCAATATTTCTATTGCTGTAATCTTGTTTTTGAATGTGATTAATGTAATTTCTTGGAAGTTAATATTTTGTTAAAGAGGCATTACAGACCTTTTCTGAAAATACCGCCACCTGTAGCCAAAACCAGAAATGCAACGCTCTTCTGCTTATTGTTGTAGCTTGTGATCGCACTTAACAAGATTTTTTAAGGGGAGTTGCCATTGGTTTCTGAGTTGAGCTCTATGCGGGCTTTTATAGTATCCACAAATCCATCCTTAATATATCGTTTAATAGTTTGCATGTTCTCTCTCCGGGTACTCCGGCTTCCTCCCGCAGTGCAAAAACATGAAGGTTAGGTTAATTGGCTTCTCTAAATTCGCCTTAGGTGTGAGTGTGTGAATGGTTGTTTGTCCTGTGTGTATGGTTGTTTGTCCTGTGTGTCTCTGTGTTGCTCTGTGATGGACTGTCATGGGTGAACCCTGCCTCTCACCCATGGACAGCTGGAGATAGGCCCCAGCACCCTCGTGACACCAGCAGGGATAAGCGTGATGGAAAATAGATGGATGGATTGTTTAATAGGTCAGACTCATTCGCTGAACAGTGCGGGAACATCTGAACCAAAGTAAATCCAGGGAAATAAGCTGGTCAAGATGCACTGGCTCTTAACTAGTGAGCTGCGAGTCTGCTCATCAGTCATTGTTTTTCAATAAAATCTTACATAATGTATTTTTAAAATATAAAAAATCATTATTGGAACTCAAATTTACTTGTCAAAGACTCGATCTTTTAAGCAATATCTGTAGGGACTTAAGCCTAAGCAGAAGAGTGTCAGCAGTCAACCATCTTGAGTGCTATCCAAATAATGCTAACAGAGAGGAAGGAGGTAGAAAAAGGAGACTTTACGCTTCCTAACAGACTTAGCTTTTCTTTACATTTGTATAACTTAACTTTTCTGTATTTTTTTTTTCAGAAGGCTGTATTTCTATTTTTGCTTGCATCATCTATGTGCAATTCCATTGCATTAAGACTAAACAATGCCTTGATTCGCCACTGCAGTCTTAAGTTCCTTTCATACCAATGGCAATGTCCTTGATGTTGACCAGGAACTCCTATTTACTGTATTCAGATTCACTTTGGTCAACACGACCGTAGCTGATATTAGCAGTAAAGATGGCTGCTACTCACATGAACAGCAGTAAAACTTTCTTACTTCCATTGCTTTTAGCAGGTCTCTCTTTATTAGGTCATTATATCCTACAAACACATGTTTTTATGTGTGCAAGATACCGTGCAAAGACTGTATTTGTCATTGCTGTCGTGACCATTAATGAATGAGCTGGAAATTGGAAACCTTTACCTTTACCATCACTGTAACGTCCAACATCAGAAGTTAATGGAACGCACCATGAGGCACATTTTCCTACTGCTGTCTGTCTTTTTGATAAGAATGTACCCACCATTGCAGGTTTTTGATCTGGATTACTCTAATCTATGTTTAAATAGCATGCATCTAAATGGCTAAAAGTATTTTTAGCAAGAAGAGCATTAGCTAATGTCATCTGTAAAAATATTTCTTATCAATGATTTTGCCAAAGTACATCTCCATGCTTGCATTATTGCACATTTCGCTATGGAGATGACTATTATTGTTGTTTAGTTTGTTGAACATGTTTAATTGTTAAATAATTTTACTATAATAAATGAAAACTGTCATTGTCTGGTCAAATAAATCCTAATATGTGAACTGCACATTAAGACCACATGAGACAATTTAAATTAGTCCCTTTATGGTGTCATGGTGCTATATATAAGAAATGGTGCTGGGCACCATTCTCAACATGTAATCTGCATCAGTTTCTGCTGAACAGAATATTTCTTAGATTAGAATATCCCTGCACAACCACCTTTTGTTGGAAACTATAAGGGTGGTTAAGTGTTTTGACTACTTCTCGCGTTGGATCCAGTGAGAAATGTTCATGGCTTGATTTCAACCCTTTAGGTTTCATATGAGCCAAATAAAGTATGATCTGGAAAACCTAGCAGGTAGGGCACAGCTTCTCAAACTCATTGTAACCAGAACAGAGATCTGACCTCAGAGCTAAACATAACATATCAATGGCAACTTGTATTTGTTTTAAAATTTTCATAGCATTTATTTTGTTCACATTTACATTGCAAATAATTAATACTGTCACTTTTCTGAGTAAATTTAAAAGCAGCTCTTGCGCCACAGTTTGAAAACTGCTTGTTTTCCCCACCAACTGACTGATATGCAAGTCTGAGTAATACGATGAATGAAAATAAAACAAAAAAACAGAAGATTAATACATTTTAACTAATTACATATTTAATAATTTACTAATCATTAATACATTATTTACATTATATTTTTCTATTATCTCAGGACATTCAGGGATTGAATGATATATGGACTATAGACCTTTGGACCCCCACAGTAATGCACGGTTTTTAAACTTGTTACAAGACAGAATAAAAGATGAGTTAGTTTTAAGGAGTAACGGTTACAGTGTACCGGTAAGTGCATTTCTGATCAAACACAAGGAGATTAAAAGAATTTGCAAGCTAATCTTGTTAACCGTCATTGGTAATCCTGTAAACCTTGATCTACTTTAGAGTGAACGAGTATTTGACATTAGTCACAAAGATTGACGAATTTCCTTCCAGGGTTGTGTTTATGGTAAGGAAAAAAAAAAAAAAAAGAAAAAGTAGAAAGGATAATGTTGTGATCGTGCACTGCCCTCTGCTGGTGACTGATGCAACCTACATAAAAAAATGTTTTATTTAATTTTTTTTTTTAAATGGTAGTTAAACATGACCTGGACCTTTTATAATTGGCTATTTCATGAAAAACAAAATAATAAGTTTTTATTAATTATTAACTAATTATTGATTAGGGGGTATTGCGAATGTGAAGGCATTCCATATTTAATCATAAATTACGTTTTCTGTATGTCTGTATTTCAGTCTGGAAAAAGGGACAAAAAGTTAATTAAAGTAGGAATTCAAATCTGAAAAGTTGGTGTTTTCTCAGTAGTTCCAACCTCTAAATCTAATTTAGCTGCAAATCATTGCAAAAACTAATATAGATACAGAATAAATAAACTGTATTTTAGGTAGTCTGATCAAATAAATCATATGTTATTTAAAAACATAAAGCACCATAGAAACTATAGTGCTATAGAAAAATACATTAGATTGTGTAGTAATATTGCTTATCAGAAGACAGTAAGTCTAACATATCCCTCAGGTTTTTATATTAGCACGTACAAAATTGAACTATTTGGGTTTGATTCGTTCAGATCAAAAAGTTATAACTTTACTATTAAACTGAGTTCTGTCTAAATACTCAGGTTGTTCACTAGTTTATACTTTGGAGCTTTTGAAATACTGGACTTCACTGCTTGCCAAAGATTATGCTTGAATGTATATTTTGTTTGTGCCTTTTGTGTTATTAATCTCTACATTTCAGTTAATTTGACATTATATACCATGTTAATTAAATGTCAATGATGGTACTTTCAGAGCTATGTGTTAAAGATGGAAACATGAGAAGGATGATAAAGTAGGAGCGACAAACATGTTTTATTTCAAATAGATGGATGTGCCTCTGTCTATGCAACGCACAATAAAATAAGCCAAAGGAATTCCTTTGCTTCCACCTGCTGCCTTCACCTACTCTGACTGCAACTTGCGCCCAGATTGGTGGGGTTGCCAGACTTTTAATGTTGGCCCCCTTTTATTTAAAAGAAAGTTTTCATGCTCCCCTTTGACCAATATTTCTGATGTTTGAACAACAAAATTCAACTGCAGTAAACCATATTACAACAACATGCAAAACAATTCCATTTAAATCACCAAACCATCACCTTTAAGGTATGACTATTTTAAGTTTAATTATGTATTTCAGTGTGAAACAGATTTCAACATTGCCATAAATACTTTTTTCATTTTTAAATGAAGAACTATCTCTCAAAATCATTTATTCAGTTACTTGTCTACCATTTCCCTTCTCCAATTACAGTGGCACACCTCCCATAGTATACTCTGCTTTTGTGGCTGACTTGATCTTGGGGTTCACTGTGGCCTAGTCAAAGTCCAAATGTAAATTTCATGTATCTCAATCCAACCAAAAAGAGGAAACCTTACAATGTGTCTGAATTACACAAAATTCCTCCACAGTGATGTAAAGTATTCAATGCAAGTTATTGGAAACGCTGACAATAGGTATTGTTACAATAAGGGAAAAATAAGTCATATGTCTTTTGAGGGAAGATGGCTTTACCACAAAAGATACTTAGCTGTTATTTCTGGTTAGAAGTGATCTATTTCATAATTTAAAAACACTTTTTTAAATTGACTTATGCAATCTTTATCTGATAGAAAACCTTTTGATGGAACTGTTAAGTGTTGCTCCCCATTGTTACCAATGTATTGTTGATTCAGGTTGTTTTAGACTGCAGCAGTCTGAGATCATTAATCAACATGAGTAGATCACAAGCTTATCAGATCCTGGTTTGTCTCAGCTTTTCATGCAATACTCATTCATATCAGGCTTCCCCTCCAATTAAAAAACACAAACAA